GATTGGTTTGTCGTTGATGGTGAGATCCGAGATGCTGAGGCCCCATGTGGATGTGGAGGGAGAGGTTGTAAGAGGAGAGGAGAGAGGAGAAATGTTAAAGTGTATAGGTAGACATGGCTTGTCCAGTTTACCCTGTTACCAAAATAATATGCATCACAACAATATACTATAAGTGGAAGAGAATCACATTGGAGCAAAACCTTTCGCTCGTCAGTAGTTACCAACCTTGGCAGTTTCGCTACTATAACTGGAGCGATGTCCCCATTTATAAGAGTACCCTGGTATGGATGGTAACTTTATCATCCTGTAACTTTTTAACTTGGAACACGCACCATGCACTAAACTGGTAAATTACTCAATCCCTTATCTGTATTTGCAAAGTTAACAGGCAAACCAATTCAGGAACCAACCAATTCATAGTTCGGGGGAAAAATCCTCAATCTGATATTTGAGGTGTCACTCTGTTTCTAATACTCTGACACTTACTGATACCATTGATTCCATAAACAAATGAAACATTGACAAAGAAGCTATGATAAGCCTCATAATAGTGTTAAAATGGTATTAATTTTGCATGGCATCCTTCTGTAATAAAAAAGGTACGGAGCCCTAATTAAATTTTTAAACAGTTTAATATTTAATTATATGTTAATATGTTTTTGGATGGTATCCAACATAATGTATTATGCAAAACTATGTAAAGTTATACATGAAGTGGTCCAAAGTCTATTTGATAAAATGTTAATGAAGTAGCAAATTCCTTCCCACAGGGAAGACAAAGACCTGCTTCTTAATCGTGAAAGAGTCTCGGTTTGCAGTAAAGCTAATGTAGGTCAATCATAATGTTCAGCTAGGAGTATTGAAAGCAAATAAAGGCAACAGGAATGCCCATTCTCCAATATGGTTGCGTTCAAAGCACGACAAAGTCATGCTTTCGGGATACTTAACGATAACCAAGATATTGGGTTAGTCCTTTCCAATCTGCGTTAGCAAATCCCATTCCTTGCCCGGTTGCGTTCCCTTCTCTTTTGAAGGTAGTTCTGAGGATGCTATTAGCCTTACCCAAACTTAAATTTTAATAAAGCTTTAATCTCTAGGACCTGAATTTGAATCCAGTCCAGATTTTTGGATGAAACTCTCCTCTGTCTGTTTACTGTAAAAGTCTTCATGCCAAGTGAGTCTGACCCACATCCTTGTGGGTGTGAGCTCACAGCATAAATTTGCTCTTAATTTGACACCAACTTGGCATTCTTATTCAGAGTCGAAGAATGTAGAAAGTATTAAAAGTTAAAGAGGTGCAGTGGGGAAACTCTACTGAGAATTGGGCTTAAAGGCATTATTGGAATCAAGTGGGGGAGCATTACTCTTCATCTAACTGGGCTATACCTGAAACAAAAACAGAAGTCTCTGGGAAAAAAAAAGCAGGTCGGCCGCATCTATGGAGAAAGGAAAGTAAGTCAACATTTCGGGTCCATGACCCTTCATCAGAACTGGGCTATATCTGTCCTGGGAGTTTTTATTGCTGACACTAGGCATCCAAACTGATGAAATGTTCCATTTTCCAGCAATAACAAAATTTCCCTGAAAAAGGAAAGAGAAACAATTTTTTTGTTTTTGACAGCTCTTTCATACAGACTCGGGAGAACAATGTGAAAGCTGGGGATCATTCAGCTCACTGAGTCCACATCAGCTCACAGAATAAAGATTTCAATTAAATGTCACTGCCCTGCCTTCTACCCATACCCCTTCAATCCCCTCGCTTTCATATGCCTGTCTACTTCCCTCTTGAAAACTACAATATACTCCGCCCTCACCAACAACAACAACAACAAAATTACCTTTGCATAGCGTCTTTCATTTCGGGAGGACATCCCAAGGCAGGGAGTTCCACACCGCAACAACTCTCTGTGTAAAAAAAAATCCTCCTAAGTTCTCCTTTCGCTATTCTTGTTGCTATCTTATAACTATGTCCCCTAGTTACTGATTCCCTATCAATTGAAATAACTTATCCCTTTTTACCCTAACAAAACCTCTCAGAATTGTCTACACCTCTATCAGATCCCTCCTCAGCTACAATGTAAACAGACCCAGCTTTTCTAATCTCTTCTCATAACTGTAGCCCTTCATGCCCAGAATTATTGTCTATGAACCTCCTCTGCACCTCCCCTAAGGACTATTTCTTGGTGAGGTGCCCATAACTGGATGGATTTTGGGCACCTCACTTCAGTTGTGGCCTAACCGATGATTTGTATAAACGTTTAGAAATCATCCTGAAGTCCTGTCTGCTTGTTAAAGTGGAAGTCAAAGGTCCAATGGCACTATTTGAAAGACAGAGGAGTTTCTCCAAGTGTCCTGGCCAACAATTCTCCAGTTCAATTAGTCATTCAACTCAGGGTCTTTATGGGACTTTGACGTGAGCAAACCTGCTGCTTTCACTGCCTACTATAACAGTCACTATTGTGATAGTAATTACCGTGAAGTACAGTGGAGCCTTGTTACAATGTGGATAGAGCCACATGGTGACATTTTACAGGAAGTGGCATCCAGCCTGTGGCCATTTTATAGGAAGTGGGGCAGTTTTTTCAAAACAAGGTTTGTGACAGTGTCTCTCTCTCTTGGCTATATAAGTACGAGGAGAGCTACACTGAGTCACTGGAGTCTTCTCTCCTACTCGGTTGCCTGACACCATCTGGTCGGAACCTGCCATGAGGTTATAGCAGCTAGAGAGCTTTCTGAACAAAGTATCTCAGTCAATTTGTTCAGCAAAAGGTGAGTTGTTGGTCCTCCTTCCTGACCCCCTCTCCTGCCCTCCTTCCCGCTCTCTCACACCACTCCATTCCCCCGTCTCTGTCTGTCTTACTCACTCTCTTTCCCACACACAAACTAAAGGAAGGCATAGAGGAAATTGATTGGAAGATACATGGGGCATCAATCCCAATTGTTCATTCTTATTGGTACCTCGGCGTCATGGTGGACACCAACTTCAGCCTGAATACTGTTCTGAAGGACTACGCTGAGAAGGGGCGAAGGACATTCTGGTTCAGAGGCATATTCAGAACATGCTCCTCCCTCTTCAAGATCCCAAAGCAGGTCAAGCTTGTCTTATACAAGATCTGTGTGTAAACAGTTCTCCTTTATGGATCTGAGCTCCTGGTACCTACCATCCACCTAGTGAGGGCTCAAACCTGCACTTGTTGGATGTCACATGACCAACTAGTGACTATCCTCCTGGGGGGAGGTAATTGGGGTCTCTTTGGAGCTGAACTTGTTCCTGGCAATGGAATGTCACAATCGAGACAGCCCTCTGTGGCAGTCTCAGTCTTTCTCTCACTGCCTCTTACTCTATCTGTTTCTTTGTCTATCTCTCTCAGTCTCTTTCTCTCTCAATCTCTCTCTCTGTCTCTCTCTCAGTCTCTCCGTCTCTCTCTGTCTCTCTTGCAGTCTCTCTGTCTCTCTATCTGTCTCTCTTCGGTTTCTTTGTCTATCTCTTTCAGTCTCTTTCTCTCTCAGTCTCTCTCCTGTCTCTTTCTCTCTCTGTCTGTCTCTCTCTCTCTCTCTCTGTCTGTGTGTGTGTGTGCCTCTCTCTCTCCTTCTCTCTCATTCTGTCTATATTTCTCTTTATAAAAAATAATTTGGTCACTTAATCCACGACTTTTTGTAGGGCACTGCCGTGCGCAATTGTCTGCCGTGTTTCGCCCACAAATTAGTCACTGTATTTTACAGTATATTCTGTGAAACGCTTTCAAACATCTCAACAAAATGATAAGGCTCTATATCAAATACAAGGATTGGCAGTGTTGTTGTTGTGATACTTGGGAGTTCTGTAAAATCCCAACCCCTTTTATGTGACAAATGGTCACTCTGCATGTTGGCAGCTGGTCAGCTCGCTACCTGCACATGCACAATGCACAGAAAGTGACGTCGGCCATAACCCAATGCAGCACCTGAGAGCCAAGTGAGGCAGCTCTAAGCATGCACAGTGAATGGGACCAGACCCCAACTGGGTTATAACTGAATCAGCGTGATAAAGAAGCACATTACAACAGGCTGCAGTATGCTTTGAGACATTGATATCATAAGCACTATAAAAATACAAGTTATTTTTTATACTGGCTGCATTGTCGCTGGACAGCCAAAGGTTTGCTAGTCTTAACCAAATTGCCTGTTTAAAGTTCCTCTGGAAAAAAATGTAATTAAAAAGGGCTTGAAGCCAATTTTTGGTAAATATAGAAACATCAGACACAATGCAGTCAATAATGAATGAGCCTGAAAGAATAATCAATTATTAAAAAAGGCCAAGCTGACAATCCCAATCCCGCCTTTTGCTCTTCGTTTACAAATTGGGATTACGGATAAATCCCCAATATCCAGGAGAATGATCAATGCCTCATTCACTGTTGTAGCAAACTCCAGGAAATAAAATAGCAGTAGGAGCTGCATCAGTTGCTGAAACATGCACTTTCCTGTATAATCAGAAATCAGTACATAGACTCAATGCAACAGAAGCAGGTTGATAAAAGTTAAGATCTTCAGCTTGGTTGCCTAACAGAGACTATTTTAAATGGCAAGGGGGGGGAGGGGTGAGGGGTGACAATTAAATGGGGAAAAAGCAGCAGTACTTGTGTATCTGGGTCTGATAACAGAAACACTAAGATTCAAGAATGAGAGCACAATTTCTAAAGTTGCATGATGCCTGATTTGGATTTTAATCAACTCTACAGATTAATTCCTGTAGTTTGTATTCCTGAGGATCTTTTAAAAAAGAACTACAGCGAGATTGTGTTCTGAGATACTGAAATCGTTTTTAGAAGGTAACATTTTTCAAGGGCAGATGGAAGAGAGAGAGGAGAGAGAGAGGGGGAAAGGAAACATGCACAAACCAAAGAAAGCAGATGTCCGAGAAGGCAGGTCAGTAAATTAACTGTGAGAGACAGTTCGACAGAGGAAAGGCTGAGAAAGAAGGACAGATGCTCACAGAGAGGCAAGCAGTTTTTACTTACAATGGTCGTGGGGGTTGCTGCCAGCACACAGTACAGTATGAGCGGGGAGATGAAACTGTCCTCCTCTGGTCCTGGGTATGGCTTCATAAGATCACCATCCTGACAGAAGAAGCCCTGGATGTGCACTTCAAAAGTGTCGGTGCACTCAAAGTAATAGGCGAGCAGCACAGTCCCAGCCATTATGACGAGCTGAAAGTACAGCATAGTTAACATAGAGATTAGCTGTCGTCACCACAAAAGCTACTGCAAAACCTCAGATTGTTTTGGTCCCATAGTACATGCTCCCTCCAGCATCCCAACAGTTATTCAGCTCCTGAGCTACTGCCTCGTCCCCTTTGATCCACTGTTACATAAATCCTTTGGCAGACGACACTAATGAATGTTTCGGATTGAAGTGGGGCCAGGCTGTGCTGCTCTGAGGGCTGGTGCTTTCAGCTGCAACTTTATCAAAAGACAACAGAGTGTCACTAATCACCAAGTGATCAATGGCCATTAACAAAAGGACCATATCTAAGCGTTAAGACAACCGACACAGTTCAATTTTTGCCAGGCCCTCTGTTTCACAATCATCAGGGCAGAGCAAAATGTCGGCAAGCTTTGGTTGCCGGCTTTTTGTATTTTTGGACTCGTTCACTCATGCTTTAAATCACAGATCAATTGGAGCAAGACAGACTTCCCATCCTGACATTGAATAAAAGCAACGTGCCTGACTGAACTGCTGGACAAGGACAGCAACTGCTGAATATGTTCCAAAATCTGGAATTTCCATCCCAGTCATGGAATTATCTGCAGCAGATGACAAAAGGGATTTCACTGGTCTCATTTGGGTATTTTCTTCCCTGTGCTTCATTTTTTTTTAAGAAACAAACTAATATTATCCAAGTTTGACTGGCTGCTTGTCAACTAACAGCAAGAAAATGTCTTGCCCAAAACCATGATAAATATATATCAATCTCATTTAGTACAGCGCCTTTTAAATCGGTAACACGTCTCAAAGCACTTCACAGGATTTACTGTAAAGTGCAGTGACTGTATTTTGTAGGAAAACATGGCAGGCTGTTTGTGCACAGCAAACTCCCACAAACAAGCATGAAGTGAGTGACAAATTTTATTTGGGGGATTGTTGTCCAAGACACTGGGGATAACTCGCTCCTCTTTTCAAACATACTCATTGAATCTTTAATATTGAAGTGTTCAGGGGGTAGACCAGACCTCGGTTTATTGTTTCATCCAAGGGATGGCACCTCCAACATTGATTGGAATGTCAGCTTAGACTATTGACGTTCCAGTGTCTGAGATGGGATGGTTGAAATCACAACCTTCTGACTCGGAGGCGAGAGTCCTACCAACTGAGCCAGGCTGACACACAAAAGGCTTCAGCCCGCACTAAAGAGAAAAATACCAGAAAATCATTCCAAACAACAATTTCCACTGTTATTGGATTTTATTTTTTGACTTTGGGGCAATATTTTCTATTGCAACCCCAGAGACAAATTAAATCCACTCCAGGTGATATTTGTTCGGTTATATATCCTTCAAGAGAGCACATGAATCGAAAAGCTTTTTTTAGAATTAAATTTTAATGTGCTTTCATCTATTTTGGAAACTTTTATTTGTAAAGTAAATGCATCTGTCTGTGTCACAGTATGTTGGAGTCTCTGTAAAGGATTCGCTGCTCCGCAATACATCATGTACCAAGTTGCTGTTGAACGTGGAGAGGTCAAGCTGTCTAGTCATCTCTTAGTGGCCAGCTTCAGAGCTTTGCCAGAGGTCCTTTTGACCAAGGAACAGGGCATGGGGAGAATTAGGAGAAGGAAAACAATAATAATCCTTGCAATTGATATAGTGCCTTATCACGTCTTCGAGACAATAGTGTGTTTGAAGAACATCCATCATCAGAATAATTTTTTTTCTATAATTAATAGATAAGCAATCCTCTAATGCTAGTCCTTCTCCTTCATTAAGTATGCAGATCAGGTAGAGCAACAGATATGATAGTGAGCCTCTGGGGCCTTTCATTCGAATTAACATTGCATGAAAAATGGTTCTTGCTTCAGTGAGTGGGAATATGTCGTTCACTTAACCTATTCGAATCCGTGATAGGCATTTTTTTTTGTCGGTCATGGAAGGAGAAGGGTTGATGGGTTGAATGGCCTTAATTTGCTCCTTGTTTTTGGGTTCAAGCACCACTTCATGTTTTGAGTTTACAATTTAGGCTGACATCAACGTAATACTAGAGTGCTGGAAAATCAGAGATGCCATCCTTCGATCTGCCTGTTCAGGTGGATGTTAAAGACCCCATAACACTATTCGAAATGCCAACAATCTCCCAGATAAAATTGGTTGTTCACTTCATGACTATGTGCAAACTAGCTGTTGCATTTACCATAAAATGCAGTCAATCCACTTTACAGTACAAATACAAAATACAAGATTACATTTATAAAGCACCTTTCACATCGGGAGGACGTCCCAAGACGCTGAACAGTCAGGGATTACGACCCGAGCGGGGTGGGGGGAGCTATATAATATAACTGTCAATGGATATACTATATACCCAACAATTATTATTATTTAACCTTAAGATAATGCTTTCTAAACAAAAGACCTTGCAGTTCATGATTCTCCGCCAAATACCGGTCTAAAAAACAACTTCAAAGGTTAAAGCTTGAAGTTAAAAAGTCCCTTTGGAGCCTAAGATTCAAAAATCAAAATATATCATCTAAATTAAAGTGCAACACCAGAATGTATTTGTGTTCCCAGAGGATAAAGGGTTGCAAATAAACTTGATGTCATGATGGGAGACAGTAGGCTGGACACTCTAGAAGGATAACATCAGATGGGCTGCGGGGCCTTTTTCATCAAAATATCTCTTGTAATCTTGTGAAATCATAAAAGTTACAGCATTCTTGAGACCAGAGCCTTGGGATGCCCTCCCGACGTGAAAAGCGCAATACAAATGTAATTTTGTATTGTATTGTCAGGTCATTGAGACTTAAGAATGCCATCTCATCCATCAAACCAAACCTCTTATCCCAATTCTCTCTTATATTGTTCCTCCCTTTTGAAATATTTATCCAATTCCATTTTAAATAGTGTTAGCATCAGTAGTCACTTAAGGCAAAGTATCATTTCATGTTCTAATAACTCCCTGATTGAACAGATTTATCCTCAATTCTTCCAGTGAGAATAATGCTCTCTCTTTGTTACGATCACACTCCTTCAGGCTGGAGAGCAGAATTTGGGGAACACCTCCACCTGGGTTTATATTTATACTATTTTCTTAGCATTTCAAAGTGATTAGAATTTGGAAAAGTCTACATTCTTAATTTTAAAACCATTTTTCTGTAAACCCCCCCCACACACACTCCATATTCAACATGTCTTAAGGCTGCCTGGCTTAGTTTATAGTTTTTGCCTCTGAGTGAGACGGTCCAAGCCCCACAACTTTAAGCTCACCTACTCTTGGCTGACACTTCCCTCCGGTGGGGAAGTGCCTCATGTTAGAGGTACCATCCTTTGGATGAGACATTAAACTGTTTTCATCTACCCGTTCAGGAGGACATTGAAAATCTCATAGCATAATTCGAAGTGTGTCTCTCTCGCTGTCACTGATAAAATTGATCATTAATTTCATGTCTATTTGTGGGACATTGCAGTGTGCAAATCGGCTCCTGTGTTTGCCACTTTACAGTAAATCCTGTGAAGCGCTTTCCCGATCAAGAAGGCACTATATCAAATGCAAGGGTTATTATTTTATTGTTATGCTTTCTTCCCGCTTCCCCAGCACACTGCCATGGGAACTGTTGCACTTCACCAAGCATTTCAAATTAAGGAATTTAAATGTCAGGCTACGTTGAAATATAAAATGCATTGACCTGATGAGTTCAGCAATTAAGGTTTTCAAACAGAAAGTAGAAATTGAAGAAAAGTCATACCCATTTGTTCTCCACTGACGCCCCACAGCCCAACCTCAGGTTCAATTACTGTGATGGGGGCATGGATTCTAGCTTGACCACCACTGCAATTTTGAGGCGGTCATGATTATTAGCAATAATAATTATCACATCACATCTCACCATTTCCCGTTGTTGCAGAAATAATCGCCGTCGGGATATTTAGCTTCAACATCTGTGCCAAAAGTTACTGCCACTGTAAGCATTTAACTCAATTGCTATTTTTAGTATAGCATTCAGAGACCGACTGTCATCAGTAAATACAGAGGTCTTGCACACACTATTAATCATTACGTCTTTCCTTTCGTCTGGAATAGAGGTACGTTCCCACTCAGTTATTACTGAACACTGAGATAACAACTTCCAGGAATGTCATGCACATTTACAGACAAGCGTGCCGTATCGAACCAGAGAAATTACCAACACAGATGACGGCCATTCATTCTGTCATGTCTAGGCTTGTTTAAAGAGCAATCCTTTCAATCCCATTTGCCTGCCTTCTACCCTTAATCCGGTATTTGACTCCTTTTTAGATTTCTATCTGACTCCCCTTTATGAAGCTAATATGGATTCTGCCTTAACCAATGCATTCAGCAGGGCATTCCCTATCCTAACTACTCTGTGTGAAAACACGCTCTCGTAATCTCCTTGTTTGCTCGCTAACCTGATCAACACGCTCTCTAAAATGCCCATATCTTCAGAATGAATGATCATAACATAACATGTAGGAGCAGGAGTAGGCCATTCGGCCCTTCGAGCCTGCCCCGCCATTCATTCATGGCTGATCTTCTAATCTAACTCCAGCTAATAACCTAACCCTGCCTTACCCCATATCCCTTAATACCTTTTGCAATAAGAAATCTATCTATCTCAATCTTGAATATGTTCAAGGACTGAGCGTCAACAGCCCTTTAGGGTAGCGAGTCCCATACATTCATCACCCTTTGAGTGAAGAAGTTCTTACTCAACTCAGGGCTGGCCTCTGATTTTAAGGTTGTGACCCCTGGTTTTAGTTTCTCCAACCAGGGGAAACAATCTCCCACTATCTACTCTATCATGCCCTTTGATGATCTTATAGGTTTCTATAAGATCCCCTCTAATTCTTCTATATTCTAGAGAATATAGGCCCAAATTGGTCAGCCTATCCTCGTAACTCATCCCCTTCATCCCTGGCACTAAACTAGTAAATCTACCCTAAAACCCCTCCAAGGCAAGTACATCCTTCCTTAAATG